AGTACGACTAGCCATACATGCAACTTTTGGTTACCTATTTAAGTAGTCTGCTCTAGGTTCCACACTAGCTGCCATACTTGTATCCCAACTATGAGGATACCCATTTAAACTCTCTAGTCACAACTGCCGTCCATTCCTAAGCCAACCAAGGTGTAACTCACTATTCATATACTAGATTTTGTGACACCTGTAGATTTCGCACCCACCTTAGGACTTACTAACCATTTCTGGCTAATTTATCCACGAGGTAAACCTAACAGAGTAGTCCATGTTCCACACATGTTTATACCTGCATGTTCGGTAATTTTCTTCTAACTAGTACCTGTTGTGCTGCTATCACTGGGTTCGTATCTCAAGCTATCTTTTAGGATATTGCCATAACCCGATCTGTATCTTAAGCTACAACCTTCCTAATTAGTCTTCCATTACATACTCCTCACCCTTGTAAGGTTCACACAATCCCAGTACTCACGTTCAGACTTTCTTTCTTCCTTGAATTCTTTACCAGTCTCTCCCTTACTTCCAGCTAGCAACCCGGAAGGGTCGGTCTGCCCAGGCTTTAAGTGCTTTACGGTCTTCCTTCCCTTGGTACATGCTTCCAGAGCACATGTCCTTTTCCTCTGGTTGGTGACCTGGCAGTTCGGCTAGTGTGTCCTCCACTTAAGGACTTGGTCGCTTGGTTCTCCGGTCTCGGTCTCCAATTCCAAATTCGGTCTTCCTGTAGCACCGTTGAAGATCATACTACCTCCCTACTCGGGGCTTGCCAAACGGGTTTTCAGTAATTCTGGTTTCCTGAATTTATTGTACCGAAGCTCCCATTCGAGATGGTGTGACCAAGATTACAGATATCTGGATCCAACCGATAATCTTAATGTTAACTGATACAGATCTAGTATTTTCAAAATCGTCATCTGTGGGATTCGAACTCTAGACCTGCTATCTGGGGGTATGACAACTCTACCACTTCACTAAGTCGCCACACTCTACCTTTTCTATTATCTGTATTTTGTATAACAATGATATTTTCTTAGTATTTGAAAAGTATATAAACCCTAGTTTTTTGCTCTCCTGTAGCTAGAAGATTAGTTCTTTGCAATTCTTAGTTATTAGGATTCTTTAGACATAGATACCTATTGATAGCCTTGTATCTTAAATATTGTATCATTAATAAATATATATTTTTTGCTCTCTGAATAAACTATAAATAAACTATACCAAACTGCCCTAGTAAAGTAACATTCCACTTTCACAATACTTCATATCTCTCTCTGTTATTTTCAAGATCTCTGTTGCTTTATACTATGTTGCAAGTATTATATTTACAAGAAGGCTATAGTCACTTGTAAAAATATCTTTTTTTTTTTTTTTTTTTTTATAGCTAGAAACATGAATATTAGGAATAAGAAAAAAATGAATTATCTAAGTATTGATCTTGTATATATAAATCCTGTAAATCTTGTAAATATGAATTCTGAGAATATGAATCTTGAGAGTATGAATCCCAAGAATACGATTCTTGAGAGTATAAGTTCTGAAAATATGATTCTTGAAGATATAAATCTTGAGAATAGTCTTGAGAATATAAATTTAAGAAATATAAATTATAGAGATTATAGAGGAATGAATTACAGAAATTATGGATAAATGAATCATAAAGGTTTGAAATTTGGAAATTAAAAAAATTAGTAATTTTTAATTGCTTTTTTTAACTTTTATATATATATTATATTTTTTGAGCAATTTTCTTAAAAATCCTAATTCTTCTAGTGTAATATTTAACTCAAAATTTTCTTGTTCTTCATAACAAATAATGGTTTGCATTATATTATATACTTCAGCAGCTATTACAAGAAGTTCAGACATCTTATCTTTATCTTCAGTTTTCTGTTTAGTTGGTCCTTTCTTATTTTCTTTATCTTGAATTGCAGCAATGATTTCTTCATCATTAAGTATTTCTTCTATAGCAATAGGTTTGTTAACTACTTGTACATATGTTGCTATAGCCTGAGCTATCTCAGATGTATACAAGTTCTCATCAAGTAACTTAGTAATGATTTCACTAATTTTATTATTATCCAATAAAGTATCACTTTTAATATACTAATCTATAATATCTATTTTTGATTTGTTTATATTTGGAAGAATTTCTGTCTTGAGCCAACAATTTTGAATAACTATATTACTTACTTTGTCTATGAATTCACAATAAAATCAATTTCTTTTTTTAATAGTTAGTTTTTTTCTGTAAAAAAAAAACTAAGTTAGTAAAATAGTAGAACTAACAAATGTTGTAGTTAAAGCTAAGAATTAAAGATAGTTAAATTTAAATTTTTAGATATATGAGTATTGTCAAAAAAAAACCTATTATCAAACTTTTTATTAATAGGTTTTTCTTTGATAATATTCATATTTTCTGGTTTATTATTAAAGTTAGATTAGGATTAAGAATTATATTTGTTATGAAAAAATGTAATTAAATTTTAGAAGATTTATATTTTTAAAAGAGATGCAAATTAAAAAATGCACAACTCTCCCTGTCGATCACTTGTACCAAAATTCTCCAGAAAATTTTTCAAACTCAAAACATAGTGAAGAGGTTATAAGAAGCACCTGGAGTCAGAACGAAGCTATAAGTCAGCACCTGTCATTTAGAGGTAGTTCTCATATGCTACCTGCCAACAGGTTTAGAGTTTATCACTTACTGCTGGGACGGCACTTGTCGTTTAGAAGTAGTTCTCATATGCTACTTGCCGACAGGCTCAGAGTTTATCACTTACTGAAAAGAAGAGTTCATTTGGAAAAAACAGTTCATGACAAGTAACTGCTATTTGCTTAATCACTTACTACTTTGGAAAAAAAAATTTTTTTTCTACTCGCCCTTTTGTTCTAGCAACAAATTTTCAAAGAAAAGTGGGCAAAACAGCTTACCCCTATCAAAAGATCGACATTGTTTACTAGTTTCC